ATTTTTCGCGGTTTAAGTCATTAGCACGTTTTTGATTGTTTCCATGTCTCCTCCACTAACTATGTGAAAACCGTGCATGTTGACTGACCAACGACTGATCGAAAGCATATGTCACTCTGATAATCTTGGAATAACGTCAATCCACCGTCGTGAATAGGCCACGTTCGATATATCAATATTTTAACATGTCTCCGAGGCTTTCATAGCAAACTCCTACATTTGGTGTTGTTTTCTTTGTATCCAAGTCTCTTTTGGGAATTGAGACACAAAAGAAACTCGGAACCATGTTAGAATATTGATATATCGAACGTGGTCTATTAACGCCAACGCAATCCAACAATCTTACTTTGAAATGTTGCATGCGCCGGCTTGACGGGGCCTCTTACTATTTACCGCACGTGTTACAATTCACGACACTTTTTTGCTGCAATTCACTTCAGGTTACGCTTGCTAGGGTTTGCTCAATTAACTGGACTTACCCAATAGTTGTTATGGTTACAATAGCCCACCAAAATCCTTCGAAGGCACCCCGGTTAAATCTGCGAGGAAACTCGTCTGGGTTATGCGACGAATCCTGCGGTTAAGAAACAGATAAACGATAAACAAAAAGATTTAGAGGGTCTTGTATCGATAATACTATATTTTTTTGCTTCACTCGAGTTTTTTTCTTTGAAAAAAACAAAACAAAACAAAACAAAACAAAACAAAACAACTGTTGTCCCTTCAGGGTTGCGTTCACCTGCCCGACATTGGGGACTTTAAGAAAACCACGACGGCATCGGCCACGGGAACGTCGCTAAACAAAAGTTTTAATGAGCAGAACAATGGCTGTGCACGTGCGTTATAATTCTTGGTACATTTCTTTGCCGTCCTCTGCAAAACAGCAACGTGAAATAACCTAATTCTGCGTTGTTCAGAGAACGTGAACCACGACGGCTAATTTTTTATGTTTATTTCAAATATTTCGCCCTGTCCCAGATTCAATTTCGTAATAGTTTTGACACGAAGAAACAAAGGAAAACGGCTTTAGAACATCGTGAGATTCTTAGGTAAAATATAAAATCATTTTTTTAATAGACGTTGTCCCCGGCGTCGCGTCCTGGTTTCTTAAACTCCCTTTTATCAATCTAAACAATCGCGGTTGCCAGAAACGCAATTAGCAGTTGTAAGTTTACCAACTTGTGGCATGAAAATCATGTTTTATGGATATAGGTGACTTGAATTTGTTTTGCGGGAGTCTTTTTTAATTCTTAACAGGATTTAGAGAGCCGGATTTTAGTAGTGTAGATTAATTATACGATTCTTAGCGTATTTGTTTATATCTGAAAGATGGATGACTAATCCACGTTTATTCATTTTATGAAGATAATCGGGAGAATTAAATACGCCTGGCATTAAAAATCAAGGGAAGAGATAAGACGTGAAACTGAAGATGACTTTCCTTGGATGGTCAGAAAAACTACAATAACACCAAGAACAGCTGTGCTGTTAAACGAAGATGGAAAGCATAATAAAAACTTGTTTCTTTCTTTCTTTTTTTTTTTTGCGAATTTTGCGAACTTTTGGCTTCTTGAGAAGCCAAAAGATGATTTATAGCTCACGTTTTTGTGTAAATTTACATACAAACGTGAGCCCGTCAGCCAAGTTATTAGTCATCTTTTCACGAGAAGAGTAATTTTTCGCAAAAATTTCAAGTCGTAACAATGCCTGGTTTATTCAGGTGGGAGTGAAAATTAAAAAGAAAAGGGTGAAAAAAGAACTAAATTGTGTACATGGCTGAATAGCTTCAACGATGCATTGGTTCCTTTTCCTTTGACACAATCAAGTCCGCGATAATAGGTATAATTACCTTTCCACGTTTACAAAGCGTTAATTAAAAATTAGCATACTTTTTCCTCCACATTAAACAAAGTGAGCAACTTTATTGTTAAGTAAACAATAGCGTTTTTGTTAATGTTGGTAAATTATATTTAATTCGTCGACCACTGGTAACGTAGTTCTCAACATGAGATTAAAGTTAAGTCGTTGTTAGGAAGAATGGCTTTTTTTCTTGTTATTTTACCATGTATAGGGCGAAAACCTAATTGGATTTGAAAAACAGCTCAGCTTTTTCAGCTTGTAATCTAAATAAAGAAAAGATAAAACAGACTATACTCGCTACCCTCGCCTACATTTGCACAACAAATCAACGGTCTTCCATCTACTCACCAAAACCCAAATCAGTACACCAGCCACGGATGACATTAAGAACGCCATTAAAACCACTGGCCATGTTCCAAACACAGCTTTGAATACCAAGTTCCATTTTTTAACCGTGGAGGAATGAGGGGCGATGAGTATAACACCAGGGGAGTCTAATACCTTGATGTACGGCACGTTTCCTCCGTATTTCTCCTCATCGTTGTGCACGGGAATTATCATGTCTGCCGAGCGATGGAGAAGTTTGTGGCGTAGAGCCATTAGATTTGGCGCTTTTTCGAGAAAACGAATTTGCGGGATTTTGCCAGCAAATATCTTGCAACAAGCGCCAATTGCTCGGGTTACCACATCATGAAAAATGCCTTTCATATTCGGTGTATGTTCTTCGCTTTTGTTGCCATTGCCTTTGGCATCATAAAGAAAGGGTGCTGCATGTAGCCAGGAGATTCTGACGTGATCGGGGCAAGTGTAACGATAAACCATACAATCGTCAAAAGCTGGTGGTGTGCCGTGCAAAGACTCATTTGCACTGCGTTTGACGGATCTCCTTCTTCTTCCTTCACAGCTTGATTCAGTCGGTTGTGGAACGTCTTCCTGTAGGTTAACATCGTCCATGCCAAACTGTCCATTCACACCTCCTTGTAAACTACAAAGGAGCAAAAAGGAAACAACAACATGAAAAACTGCGGGCTTCCCCGAGAATCGCCTCATTTTCTTAAGCGCTCGGTGGAGATCTACACGTAACCACTCAGAGACATGCGAAAACAAACTTACTTAATTTTTAATGCAAATTTACAGAAATTTGCAATTTAAAATCATCGTCCTGTTTTGGAAACGAAAATTATGAAAGCATGCAGGGAAGCAGCATGGTCATAGA